GGAGAAAAGTTTGACCACAGATTGTATACCTTTTTCTCTTTGCTAAAACTAATTAATGATTTTTAAAATTGAGTAAAAGGCTCCCTTGATTTGGTTCCCTGAGCTATAACACCACTGGTGAGGAGAGGAGCGTATTTAAAAATGAATTTCTCAAGCTGAAAAGAAAAAAGAAGAAGAAAACTTCAAAGCTCCTGTTTAATTGTGCATGTCCTATTTTAAATAACTAACTCAACTCCAGCTGTTTGGGGGATGGATCTGAGAAGCCAGCCTCTGCAAATCAGATGGAATTTTTTTCTTGGCTTCCTCTGACTACATATCTAGAGTGTTAGATTGCTCTACCCAAGTCCAGGGGTCAGTCCTCCACCCTGGGGGAGCCACAAGGGGCCAAACTACCCCTGAACATGAGCAAACAATATGAAAAATCAAAACTGAATGTGGCTGAAAGTCCACTTCCATTTTCCTTTGGTGTCAGGGGCTTTCGGGTGGGCCTTGCACCCAGTTTTATGACAAAATGCCTTGACGCAGCAAGCTACCTTGAAATGAAGTCTCCAAGCTCTGTGAGTTTCCTTGTCTGCAGTGCAAGAATGAGACCAGGAGCACTGTGTCACCCTCCTTCTCTGCAATTTGCACAAAACGGCCCTGCACAAAACGAGTGTCTTTTCTTGATCTGAAATTAAGTACATGCACAGCGAGCAAAGAACAGCTGGCTCGGGTTCGAAAAGACACTCACACCCTGTCCAGTGCTTCTGATTTGTATAAGTCCATGCAAAAAATCAGTAGCTCTCCTACTTTATATCAATGCTCTCAGGAAGGCAAACTTCTCAGCTGATTATTATCTCACCCTCTGGCAGATGAGAAGAGAAAACTTGAAGTTTCTTGTTTTCACATGTGAGGATGAGACAGACAAGTATTCATTGGGTGTGAGTGTGGGTGTATTTGTCTATTATACAAGACAGAGTTGATCTTGATACATGAGACAAGAGGATAATTCTGCTCTTTTCCTCATCACTCTCTTCACCCAGAGAGACTTTCTGTCTGATCCTGCAAAATTCACATTTCCAGCTGTGCAGAGAGACTGTGCTGTCATTGTCAAAATAGTGGTTTCCACTTGGGGAGGGTATGGACAGATGGAATGGGATGAGTCTTCTCCCTTTCCTTATGCATTCTAGTTAGCTTTCTCTTAAACACAGGAATGAGGCCATAGATTACAATCTTATCCTTACTTATCTGAGAGCACCCTTACCTGAAATAAAGCCCCATTGAACTCTATGGGTTTTGCTTCTGACATTACAAGATCCTGTCAAAGAAAAACCTTGAAACTGATAGAGGAAGATACTCAAGGTTTTGGAAAACAAGAGGAAAGCCATTCCAATCCTTCTTGTAGCTCAAACCACCAATAAACACTGGGAAGCAAACCTCTTTTTCCCTGTTCACAATACTCATTCTTACCTCACTAGACAAGTGTCACAGCAGTAATGAAGATCAGAAGCCTCACAGTGGAGGTTCTTGCTGTGAGTATTGAAGTCATCTCTAGTCTCCTGGCCTCCAGAGAGAAAGCAGGAATGCTGTTTGGAAATGCAACCCCATCATCTTCGCCGACAGTGCTGGAATTAATTTCGTTTTAAAAGAAATTTAGAAACAGCTTCATTTACTGTAACAAATTGCTAATATGGCATCAGCTGGCCCATGTAAATGAGTTTCTGTCTCCCCCGTGGCTTTTTCTATCAACCTCCCAGCCTAATTGTCTGCTTCCTATGAAGGCCTTTCCATAATCAGCTCTTCCGCATATTACGAACCAACAGTCTCATCATACACTAATGGCCAGCAGTTAAAGGCCTGTTTCCAGTTGCTATCCCCATTGAATCAACTGCTGACAAGCCTTTGGTAAAGCCCATTGATTCAATGGGTCTACTCTAGCTAGGACTAGCAGTTGCATTAGCAGTCGCAAGAAAAAGCAAACAGTCCTCCTTAGGGCTAATTTGATAGATTTGGACTTCTTACAGTCTGGAATTGTTTCCTTGCCACCAAGCACCCCTTGGAGGGTGTCTTTGAGGTGATGGGAGAGGTTGTGGCACCCTTAAGCAAACTCTTGATGTACGTGATTAGCAAACCAGGCAATATGCAGGATGAGGCTGGCTTTCAGAACCTTGGAGAGCTCCAGGCAAACCACTTCCTACAAGACAGAGAATGCAACTGAGGCATTTTATCCCACTCCTCCCCGACTCCACCTTCTTGCTGAACGATAGAATGTCTTAAAGGGAAACTCTTTTAACTGGAACCTTCTCCCTGGTTTCCTCTCTGCCACTATCCAGCTCCTGCTCGTGAGCAAGTGCTTGTGAGGCTCTGGCTATAAAGAAGTCCAGTTTATCAAGAACACCTGGTACAGAGAAGGTTCTCCTGGAGGACTCCCATTGATAGTTCTGTTGTTCAAAAGGATCCTGGGTTATGGACTCTCTTTCCAGTATGACATTGGGACCTGGGCTCAGAATGAGCACCTCTGTTTCTCATACCATACTGCGCCTGGTATAGATGGCTTCTTTGGCCTCTCTGAGCCAGAGTCTAGTCTGCAGCTCATGGTCTGGGTCATGGGTCATGCTCTTCCCAATCTGGCATGTCTTCCACAGTCACATAGACCCACCTCATCCCCTCTGTCCATTCTGGCAAAGGATCTTGGTGTTTGCTCTCTCCAGACAGCTCCCTTATGACTTGCCACACCCTGTTCCACATGGTATGAAAACTCACAATTCATCATTAGTTTAGTACAGCCACAGTGAGCCATCCAGATGAAATCCAGAGCCTTCTAAAAATTATTTTGTGTACCTATTGTTTAAATATTTAATACTGCCCTTAATATATTCTAATCCTCTTGGAATGTGTGAAATGGAAATCATTTGCATTCATTCTGGCCTTTTCATTACATCTCATTAGGGAAGATGCAATGTTTAATGCATCTCAAAGATGAGGAAAGCTGGGAAGATGATTTCCATCCCAGCCATGGCTATCAAACCCAAACTGTTGAGAAAGCACTCTGTTAGGAGAGTGAGATAAAGTTTGGAACAAAGGCTTTTTTTCATCAGTTTCAACAAGGGGAATACCAAATCCTTGGTTTTGTTTACGGTTCAATAAAGATACTTGTCCAGATCCATTACACCAAATCTCTGGGTGTTTACAATTGACGAGAAAACATATACAGGAAAATGGCATCTCCTCACAGCTAAGCTTTGGCTTTGTCTCTCTCTCCTCGCCTCCCGTTTGTTTCCTTAGTAACAGCTAGCAACGTCTTCCAGTCCCATGGAGAGCCAACTGGGTCAACGCAATGTATTCTAACACAGAAAGAAAGGAGGTGGGTTGCTAACAAACATAGTAATTTCAAACATTTTACTAAGTTGAAAATGCAGCTTTGACGAGTTTCAGAACACTAGAAAGACTGAGTTTTCAACTGGGGGGTCATTATATTTTCAGACATAAAAATTTATAATTGCAGACTTTGCGTTAGCACACATAGGAAGGAAAAACAACAATAAAACATTTTTCCACTCTGAACTACCACCCTCATTCACTGAGATGCAATTATCACATTTATATCCAAGCCTTCCTCTAAGAATTTTAGGGTAGTTTGTACCATTTTAATCCCCCTTGTGTTTATCTTTACAACATTTCCATGAAGTATGTGAGGTTGAAAGATGTTGATGAGGCCAAGGTCACAATGTTTTTATGGCCAAATTGGATTGGCATCGGGCTTCCTGCAGTGTAGTAGAACACGCTAACCACTTCATCACATTCTCTTTCTGTCTGTGTGCCCTTGTCTAGCTTCAGGCAGGGTTAAATATGCTACTTGTTGGAGTGTTTCTCCCCAGTGTCATCTGCCCGATCCATCAGATCTTCCCAGACTAGGCTCCTCTGCATAGCTATCCCAGGGAAAACCTGGAAGTTATCCACAAGAAGCAGGGCCTTCTACACTGTGGCACCGACCTTATGGAAGCAGCTGCTGGTGCAGAAGTGGAAAGCACATTTCAAATTGCCGGTGATCGTTGTCAGATCTGAATGTTCCTCCAGGTATACTTGGAAGGCACATTCTGGCCAAAGGTTCTGTCTAAGACCTTTGGCAATGGCTCCTGTTTGGGAGAAGATTAAGCACTGAAGCATTTTACCAAATGAAAAAGAAAAAGCCCATTTATGGCCCGAAGTGTGTATCGACATAATAGCTACATAAATCATTTACGAGATATAGCGAACAGAACTGACTTACATATGAGACAGTAATATCGGTTGGGTGGTTTGGTTGTAGCTCACAGCATTCAGAGAGAGTTTCATAAAAACTGGTAAGCTGCCAAAATTAAAAACAAAAACAAAAACAAAAACAAATGCAGTCTCATTTCAGAAGTTCAGAGAAAGTGGAATGAGCCTCCAAGGTGGGTTCTGTAACTTCTACATTCAAAACAAAATAAAATCTAAGACCAGAAGAAGCTGTCTTCTCCTGTACCAGAGTCTTGGTCTATCTAACTCTGTATTGACGTCTTGGACTGGCAGCAGCAACTCTAGGTGGTTTGAAGTATGATTCCTTCTGTTAACCATACCTGGAAATCCGTAAAATTTATGGTGGTCTCCCATGAAGTTGCTAACCAGGCCTGACACCATTTAGCTTCACAAATCTAGTCAATTTAGGCAACATGACAACATTTGTACTAAGAAGCAATATGGTTGGCCAAAAATCTAAACCTAAAGCCTTCTGCTGTAATTACAGACTGAAAACATCCCAATCTTCTTTTGCTCCAGCTCTTCCTTGGTTTCTTCAACCAATGAGTGCTTTGCTACCCTCAAAATCCATGGAGAAGATGCCTTGACTTCTCTTTCTCAGAAAGCTTCTGTCTTCTGCACCCTCTGCTATGAAATCTTCTTCCAGATTTGGCTGCCATGATGGCTATTGATCCGGGCACGCCTTTCTCCTGCCCTCCTGTTCTGAACCTTCGTCATGAATCACAGATAAACAATTTACCAGTTGCTGCGATAGTGCATTACGACTTTAGCCTCCTGGAACAACCACAGATGACTTTGATTAAAGAGGTGCCCTTTGGTTTTAATTTTATTTATTTTTCTTAAGACTGGGTGGGGTTCTTCCCCTCTCCTGCTACATGCACAGAAAACCTGATCAAATACATATCTATATTTCTGCAGGATTGGATTAGAAGTGTGTTCAGCTTCACATTATTGAAATGTATTCAGTATGCCAGCTAATCTGTTTATATGGATGACTTTCTCACAGAAGCATAATGTTGAACAGCAGGATTAGCAAGGGCTTACTCAAGTAAGTGCGCTTAGCCCCTGTTGTATAAAATATGTGTGTGTGTGTGTGTGTGTGTGTGTGTGTGTGTGTGTGTGTGTGTGTGTGTGTAGAGAGAGAGAGCGAGAGAGAGAGAGAAGCTAAAACAGAGACAAAAATAATGAGATCCAAAGAAAGGAGATGAGAAAACTAAGAAATGGGGCTCAGATTATGACAGAGCACAATAACAACACTTTAACTGCACCAACGTGACTTTTGTTAAGCTTATGTTTCCCATTCTTTTTTAAAGGTGACTTATAGCACCCACTTAACCCAAAGTAACAAGAGAGGCAACCTCATCCTCCATCAGAACAGCATTGATCAGAAAGGGTGACAACTCTGGAAAAACAGCTTCTCCAAGAGGTTGAGCAGATTACAGAACCTCTGAAGATGCTCATAAATCACGGGCGAGTTCCTGTGGAAAGGATCTCCCACCTTCACCATCTTCTTTTCCTGAAGATCACGGCAATCAGAGGAGCACCCAAGCTTTTCCTTCTCAGGGTTCTGTTCTGAAGCTTGACTTCTTAATGCTGTGGCAACATATTTGTCTCCGAAATACGACATGTGCAGATTGTGTCTTTGTCAGCCCGAAATGCGGCACGCAAGCAGAGATGAATAATCAGACCGTCAGAGGGTTTGCTAAATGAGCCCTGAGTGAAGCAAAGAAATGAAGGTATTTAAGAAAAGGATGCACTGCAGGAGTTTCTCAGAATGAACATTTGCTGGTATCCAAGTATTACAGTCCCTTTCAAAACAGCCTTTGAGCAGTTAGGTGTTGTTGTTTTTTAATACACATCTGATGCTCCTGTTGAATTAGGGTTTCTACATGTTTTATATTACGCATCAGAATCTATTTTTTAATTTCTTGTGATTCTACTTCAACGATGCGGGTGATGCCAGCAAGCCTTTTTTCTTATTATAGTCTCCCCTGCAGAGCTTCCGTGATTCAGGAAGCCCCCAGACATCAGGAAGAAGAATGTCTCCTTAGTTTAGCTCAGAACTGCTCATTGCAAGAAGAAGAAGAAAAAAACAGAAATAGGCCCCTCCAGACATTTCGGTATACAAGATAAGGACTGTCAGACTTTTAAATGATTAGTCGAAACCCGCATGTCAAACTTCAACCATGCTGTTTTCCTGTACTGCAGCAATACCATCCAGGCGATTCGAGGAGTGTTTTCAGACTAGAGATGGGCACAAACCAGTTCATTCCAGTTCATCCCAGTTTGTAAAGGTGGCAGCACAGGTGCTGCTGCTCCCCTCTCCTGCCTCCGCTGGCTCAACCAGCCCCTCGCCAGGCCCAATGCCCTTGCTGTTCTTCGACCTCCTCAACTGATCTCCCAGTCCCGGCAACAGCTCAGGCTTCTCTGCCCTGCCCCTCTTGGCTGACCTGCCACTCAGAGAAAAGGGCGGAGCAGAGAAGTCTGTGCTCTTGCTCGTGACTGGGAGATTAGCTGAGGGGGCGGGAAAAGCAAGCAAGCTGGGCCTGATGAGTGGCTGGTTGAGCCAGAGAAGGCAGGGAGGAGAGCAACAGCACCTGTGCTGGCACTTACGAACTGGGACGAACCAGTTCATGCCCATCTCTAGTTCAGACCCAAGGACAGATGGGATGGGAGGCAAGATAGATGGGGATCTAGATTACTGACAGAGGACAGAACTAGTCAAGACTCCATTTTGACATCCAAAGGATGTCAAAACCCCACCAGTGACATGTTCTGTGAAATACATATTGAATATGATAAGCCATCCTAAAGGATTCCTCTGATCCAGGTTTTTTCAAGAGAAACCAAACCTGCCGTCCATGCCTTCAGTTTAGTTTATATTTGTCTAGTCCTTAGACCATCCTGTTGGTGATGCTCTGTGCTGTTGTGTTGCTTCTAACATACACTGGTAAAGTTTTTGAGCTACATGAGATGTTCATGGAGTGGTTGACCATTGCTATGCCCCTGCCCCGTTCTCCGCTGAGCAGAAATTTGAACCTAGTTCTCCTGAGTCCTAATACAACCCTTCTCTACCCACTACACTATACTGCATTGAATTCCACTTTGGATCATCGCTAAGCCCAAAGTACAGAGAAAAGAGAGAACTGCATTATTTTACAAAGCAACGGTATCCAGACACTGGATACAAGGCAGAACCGTCCTGACGAGTACCATATTTTTCCATGTATAAGACTATACTTTTGTTTACAATCTTTAGAGTAAAAATTGAGGGTCGTCTTATACACAGAAGTAAGCTGAGGAGAGAACAAAAGCAAGTGGAGGGCAAAGCAGGGATCAAAGCAAGCCTGCAGCACTTTGATCCCTTTCCCCCTACACTTGCTAAGCCCCACTTAGATTTCTTAATTTTGGATTAGAAAAGTGGGGGAGTCTTATACATGGGGGCATCTTATACACGGAAAAATACGGTAAACTCTCCTGTTGAAGCTTGCTTCAAGCACAGACTGCTGCAAGTAAAAAGCACAAGTCCTTTATAGTTTACATGACTATCTGATGCATATATTTCCATAGCAAACATTTTTTCCAACAGCTCTTCTCCTATAATTCCTTCTGGCTGAGATCTCAAAGAACTACAGAAAGGGCAGTCGGGAATCATGCGTGAGAGGTCTACAACCTGCCTTTATGTACAACAGCAGGAAGAATCTCTCTTCCAGAATAGTAGAATACATCCAGTTCACCAGGGTGCCTGTAAACACCACCCTCAATTCTTTCTGCAGAATACATAAATGCATGCTATCAACTCAATTCTGACTAATGGTGACCCTTTCAGGGAAACCAGAGTGTACTCAGAAGTGGGGTTTTTTTAGTCCCTTCTCCGGGGGGGGGGCGGGGAACCTGGGACTATCATGCAGCTTGCCCCAGGTCACACAGGCTGGCTGTTCTTACAGAAGGCAGTGTGGGGAATCAAAGTCCCAACTCAGTGAGTGAGCTATCCAGCCAGTGCAATTCTTTCTGTATATGTATTGAAATGGGAAGGCACTATGACATTTCTTTCATGGACAATGCTAGGGGTACAAGTGGAGTGTAGAAAGATGGCTAAGTGAACACAGGCTACGTGGAAGATACGGACAGATTCCGGTCCCATAAGGATCCAGTCCCCAGCCAGAGGACATGATAAGGAACCAAGAATCTCATTCTGTGTATTCTAAACCCCACTCCAGCATCTTGCGCATGGAAAGAACGGTTGAATTTAGCTGCCATAGACTAACGCCATGGCACAAGGCTAGAGAAAGTAGTCCTCCCTCCAGTTAGATCATGGGTCCCAACCTGGGTCAGGCTGCTGATTTGGGCATGCTCCTCAAACCGGGCAAAACTACTTACCCCATCAGGCCATGGGTCTGTGGCACAAGCTGGAACACTGGTTTTCACCATGCCCCAAACGGATCCTCCCCCTTCCTCCCCTTTTTATTACTTTCAACTCTGAACCATGTGTGCGAAGGGCAATTTTATTCCATCGTCACCTGTACCGTTGAAGTGATGAGGTGCGCACTTCAGGTCTGATTAGCAATTTCTTTCATTTATCTTTTTTTTGGGGGGGGGGGGGAAGGTGCATAATTGCTTCCATTTTTCCCCTGTGAGAAGCAAATCACGCTTCTTAAAAACACTGAATTGTTCACTCCCATGCATGGCCGTCTCCCATTCCAATTGGACTTGTTTGCACCGTTTAATTTCTTTAACACAATAAACGGGCAAAGTAGAAATAACAACAGTTCACAGAATGAAAAGAGATCAGGCGTTCTGTGTGGCTGATAATGGCCTGGAACTGCCATTAAAAGAGGGAGGAAAGAAAAAGGAGAGAGAGAGAAAGAGAGATTAAATTAGGCAGAGGGAAGCTTTATTGCTTTAGAGACCTCAGTCTTGGGGAAAAGGCTAAAGCAAGGCATTTATGGGGGATACTGTTGGGAACAAGGAAAGGACCAGGTTGGTCCTTCAGATCCATTCCCATGGAAGGGTTTCTGCAAACCTTAGAAACCGTGGCCCTTTCAGGGAGGGGACTGGTCTGCTGGGTAGCTCCATGGTTTAAGGCATCTGCCTGTACGTAGAGCCAGAAGTTGGGAGTTCAATTCCCCACCGGGCCTCCTTGACAGGGTTGGACTCCATGATCCAGAGGGTCCCTTCCAGCATTGCAGTTCTAAGATTAGAGAACTCCTAGTTAGCTCAGTGGTTTAAGGCATTTAATTAACTTCAGGGACTTCCCAAGGCTAAAACCAGCAGGTTTCCTGGCAGGACAGCCCCCCACCTCATATACTTTGAGCCACCAGAGGACCCCACAAGTAGAGGTATCATTGCCATAGACCCATGAGTAAATCAGTTGACCCAACAGACAGTGGAAAATCGTGGCTCCTGGCCCTACAGTTGGCCTGAGACTACCGGTGCAAGGAAATATCAAGTTGCTGGCAAGCCTTGAGCCTGTTCTGCAGGCTTTCTTCTCCCTGAAGCAAGAACCTCTGGAGTCTGGACCGTAGGGTCTGTGGGAATACAGGAGAGGCCAACAAGGTTGCAGTCCTGCTCTTGGGAATGGTCCTTTCATTTCAATAGAGGGCGTGTGTGGGAGAAAATCCCAGTGGATGCATCCTTTCTTAGTTAAAGTGGCTTAAGAATCATGCGGGATTTTAGGAGTGAGCTGATGGATAGCTATACATGGATACTCTATACATGGAAATCACCAGATGGGCAATATCGAAATCAGATTGATTATATTCTCTGCAGCCAAAGATGGAGAAGCTCTATACAGTCAGCAAAAACAAGACCTGGAGCTGACTGCGGTTCTGATCATCAGCTTCTCATAGCAAAATTCAAGCTTAGACTGAAGAGATTAGGAAAAACCACTGGGCCACTCAGGTATAATCTAAACCAAATCCCTTATGAATACACAGTGGAAGTAAAGAACAGATTTAAGGAACTAGATTTGGTGGACAGAGTGCCTGAAGAACTTTGGATAGAGGCTCGTAACATTGTCCAGGAGGCAGCAACGAAAACCATCCCAAAGAAAAGGAAATGCAAGAAAGCAAAGTGGCTGTCCAACGAGGCCTTAGAAATAGCAGAGAGGAGAAGGGAAGCAAAATGCAAGGGAGATAGGGAAAGTTACAGAAACTTGAATTCAGACTTCCAAAGAATAGCAAGGAGAGACAAGAGGGCCTTCTTAAATGAACAATGCAAAGAAATAGAGGAAGATAACAGAAAAGGAAAGACCAGAGATCTGTTCAGGAAAATTGGAGATATTAGAGGAACATTTTGCGCAAAGATGAACATGATAAAAGACAAAAATGGGAGTGCTGCAGATTGACTTCAAAAGATGATGAGAGTACAGGGAGATGTTTCTTTCCACCAACACTATTAGGAGATTTGTGTTGGCATAGCCCTCATGCTGCTCTGTTCTTGCTCTCTTTCACACCACTTGCACCCAAATGCTGAAAGCTGACACGCTATT